CTGGCTGGATCTATCACTGGAATGTTGTGCCTAATTTTCACTAATGTTTATTTTTTAAAGATTTATTTGCTTTATTTTAGAGAGAGAGAGAGAGCAGGGCTGGGGAGGGGGCAGAGGGAGAGAGAGACTCAAGCAGACTCCCTGCTGAGTGTGGAACCCACACTGGGCTCAATCCCAGGACCCTGAGATCACGCCCTGAGCTGAAATCAAAGAGTTGGATGCTTAACTGACTGAGCCACCCAGGAGCCCCGTAATTTTCACTAACGTTTAAAGAGTTATTCAGGTAGAATGCGCCTGCCTAGAGATTCAGAGAGCCCAGAAGTGTAAATGAATCTAGATAGTCAGACAGAATACACATCTATTCTTCTCAGCTACTGTGCTGCCTGTCTCTCTCCCATCCAACTCCTCACAGCTACTTCTCTGCTGCCCCATTATCTCTGCCAGGTCCTCATTTTCGCACACTCAGGGTCCTACTAGCAGAATCCAGGCTTCTTAAAGAGACTATTCTTTGGAAGACACAACGGGGAAGCAGAAGAGAGGATGCATTCAAAATTCCCTTAGAGGAGTTTTCATCTATATCTAGCTGTTGCGGGCAAATCGCTGCTCTATTAACTGCCTGCTGAAACCCAGATGATGTTCTCAAGCTTCCACATCTACATCCTAATCATGAAGCCAGATACACATGCACCCATCACGGCAGGGCCCAGAGCTCCTTGGCAGTCTTTTCCTGCAGAACTAAAATTGCACATTCTTCAAATTATAGGTGAATCCTAATTGTAGAGCCCCTAACTGTATAACTCAGGATTGATAGGGAGTTTTTCAAAGCAATCTTTGAAAGAGGCTTCTTCTGGAAAAGAATACAGAACTTTTGAACAGAAGTGTTCAGCTGAGCAAAAAAGTTCAGAATGGTCCAGACTGTAGGGGACCAAAAAATTAAAGACGGTCTGAGGGAAATGAGAGAGGCCTCAAATAAATTTAACCTAAGGTAACTTTAACTGCCTACTAATCAGGAGCATAGGAACATTTACTCTTAGGGCAAGTCTGGATTGCACTGCTATGAAAAGGGCCACGAATTCTCAGAGTGGAATGGTACAGGGAGCGGAAAAGAAAGAGGCCTGGGTTAAGTGTGGGCGGCATGACCACCACTTTGGGGTCTAATGGCATTTTTCGAAAATGATACCATTTGTAAAATGGGTTTAAAATACTATTTTGACTGATTTCATGTCCGCAGAGTATTAATTATTTTGGGATTTCCTCCAATGTTTAGATGCTCCGTCTTTGGAACCCACTGATTGATTAGTTAATCTACAGCTGCTCCTGGTGCTCAGCAATTTTCCCTGTCTTGTCGCTAGGAGACCAGGACTGCTCCGAACAGGCCTGTGTGACAGGCATCATGAAGAGGTGGTGGGCTCTGCCGACGAGCCACAGTGCCATCAAGCGGTCACTCTGCAAAACGGTTCGACAGAGTGGGTTTGTGTCCCCTGTTCTCTAATTAGAGTGCTCAGGTTGTCTCCGTTCCAGATGAATTAGCCAGTTCGCTGAACCTCGGGGAACTGTGTATTCTCTCCGTGCTCTTCTGCACACAGTGAGGGTTTTTTTCCTTCGATAAATGAATCATGCCATGGCAAGCAGAATGGTGAAGTTAAAAGAATGCTGGATGGGTTGGCAGAAGGCATTTTAGTTCGCCCCTACTCTGACCTCTCTTGGTTATAATGTCTTCCCCTAAACAAGGAGGAGCATGCGTGAGGTCTCTCAATGTCCCTTTCATCCCCAAATCTCCAATTCTTTGCTACTTTTACACGCAGTTCTTCCCCAGAGGAGCTTATCCTTGCAGCTGATCCTGGTCGAGGAGCTCCAGCAGACCTCGGTGATGTGGCTTCACGGTGAGTTTGAGCCGGTGGAAGCAAGGCTGGAGGGGGAAAGGCAAGGACAGTGCCCACCACCAGAGGCCAAACCGCCAACCTTCTCTGGCAAATGACTCTGCTCCCACATGTTTGGTGGAGTCCCCCTGGGTAAATCTGTCCTTCCTGAGCAAGGAATTCTGGCCCAGGGAAGCAGCACCAGGTGCCTTGGGTAAAAACCTGTGATGTAAGGTCGACAGGGAAGTGCATCTGAGCAGGATGTGCTTATGGACTCTCAGCAGAAGGCTGGCCGGACTCATGCTTCCACTGAAGATTAGAAGAGCTGGAGAAATTTGCATTCCACCCACAGAGATGCACCCCTGTCCCTTCCTCTGACAGTCTCTGGGAGCCAGGTAGGAGGATTGGCTCTACCCTGCCCCCTGCCCCCCATTACCTTTCTTCAACTCCTGTTTGGAGGCCCCATGAATCCAGATTCATGGTGCACCTCATCATGGACCCGGTACGGAGACTGGGGTCATTTTTCACTCTCTCCAACAACCTGCCTCCCTGTGGATTTAACTCTGGTTTTTGCCAGGCAGATGTGAGTTATGGTGAATGTTGTGCTTGTCCTGCTGGGACTTCGGCAAAATTTTATCAATCTGTGCATTATGTCCAGTATCCTCTGATTTCAGGACCAAGTGAGACAACCGGAATCCTGAATATTAAACAAGCCTGAACCAAAATACAGTGAATTACCAACATGCTAAGAGAATACAGCTGAATTATCGTAGGCCATGAGACTATGATTTGGTTGACACTTTTGTCATTATTGGGGGGATTCTTTAAAAAAAAAACAACAACTATGAGATTGTCTCACTGAATTGCCACCTACTGGGGTAAACTTACAAAACATTCAAGACAGAATGGAGCTTAGTACTCGTCTTTTAGTTTAAACTGAGACCTAAAAAGATGTATCAAAATAAAATTGAGATGAATTAAATTTAACTTTTTACAATCTAACTTCAAAAAAATGCCATTTAAAGGGATCAAAATAAAAGTATGGACAAAAATGCAAGGGTCTTCTCTGTTTTTTAACAGGTCTAAACCTCCGAATTCAAGAGCCAATGGGAGAGCTATCTAGCACATTCTGTCATTTTAGAGTGCCATCTGCTGAGGGGATAAGTAAGATGAGAAAAAAGAAAAGGAAGAAGAAGATGAGATGTTCTTTTTCTCTCTTCAATCTGTTGAAGGAAGCACCTCCACTTAAAAACATCTCTGTAGGGCGCCTGGGTGGCTCAGTTGGTTAAGCCACTGCCTTCGGCTCAGGTCATGATCTTGGAGTCCGGGGATCGAGTCCCGCATCGGGCTCCCTGCTCGGCGGGGAGTCTGCTTCTCCCTCGGACCCTCCCCCCATCTCATGTGCTCTCTCTCTCATTCTTTCTCTCAAATAAATAAAATCTTTAAAAAAAAAATAAAAACATTTCTGTAGATGTTTTGTAGATGAGATATTTCATGGTGTTTGTTCCTGGCCCTGAATATCAAACCTAGTCTTGTCTCGTTTCTCCGTGATTGTATCTCTGACACTCAGCACCACAAGTCCCAGAACCTATCAACCTATCCATGGCCAAAGAAAAGATGAGGGCCAGCTCATCAAATTTCACCTAGACTCTCCTTTTAAGAATGGCCAGATTTTCTTAGACCTTCCTTAGATTTCCACCAAGGCAGCAGCCAGGAGGCCCAGTGAGGCCTGGCTGGGACTGGCCACTCACATGTTCCTTAGAGAGACTTCTGTAATGTCAAAGGAAGAGTGACATACTTGCAGTGAGAGGACCCGAGTGTGACTACCTGCCCTGTCATACTCCAATGTAGGCAAGTCACACACCATGGCATCCCAGGTTCCTCATCTGTGAAGCAGAGGCGACAAGTACCTTGCAGAATTCTTTTGAGAGGATAAAATGAGATCATGCTGGTAAAATCACTGAACAACTAGAGTTATAATTTGCAGCTCTGAACTGGGATGTGAAAACGCATACAGGTCTTGTCTGTAAGCCTTTTATTGTTTAAATAAGAATGTTTTTTAAATGTGCTGGCCCTAGATTTGAAATAACCGAAACCTGACAAGCAGAGAAGAAAACCTGGAGATATCACAGGCAAAGAAGAGTCTGGGCTTGGCGAGGGCATGATGATGTATCCTGCAGAGAGATGCGGGGAACGAGGTGCTGGCAGGGGAAACGGCCTCATGTCCGAGTCTCTAGGACAACAAAGAAGGTGCTTCTTGTCCTTGGTGTCTTTGTGTGTAGGGCAGGGCTGGGCAGCCAAAGACCTCTGCCTGAACTGCAGAACCCAGAGAAATGCCACCTGCCGTTTCTCCCATTGGCACTTTCTGGGCTTGCCTAGCAAGGACATCTACTCATTGGCTTGAGTTTAACTCAAAGAAGGGAAGTAAACGTCCCAGACACAGCCTAGATGGGACACAGATGTGAGAAAAATATCATGATTCAGAATTTTCAGGGCATCATCGGTTGCTTAGGTTAAGGGAGAATGGAGAGAGAGAGAAAGAGGGAAATTAGGCAACTTGATTATGACTTTTCTTTCCCTAAGAATCCTGATTAAAATTCAATCACAGAAGCCTTCCCAGCAAGTTCCAGTATATTCCATCCTATGGAGTGCATCCCACAGGAGATCTGGACAGTGGTTACTTGGAAGAAGGTGATGTAAAAATATGTACAATATTAACACTCCCTCAATATTACTTAGTTGGAGTAATATAAGTCTCTGAAATATGTGTCACATTAGATTTCATTTGGAACAGAAGCCCACAGTTACAAAATTTCATTAGGGAGGAGAAAAAGCAGACAGAATAAAACTAAGTGGAGTCATGAATCCAAGACTGTGTGTATGGTTTATGTTTTTTGGACCCAATAAGGGTAAGTAAAAAGTAGAAAAGCATTCTCTTTTTTATGCGTGTAACTAATATAGTAAAAGGATTATCGACCATAGCTCAAGGTGAAAGCTTCCTCTAAAACCAAAAGCAACCAAAATAAAACCACAGAAATGATAATAATTAAATGCATTTTACAGCATAAAACATTTCCCTCAGAAAGTTGATTAAAAAAAACATTTAAAAAGCTTCTGTTTTTAAAGCTTTTTAATCTCTGGCACATAACAATAACTAAAAGAATTCTGCGAAATTACACAAAAGTATTTGGTGGATTTGAATTAATGGGCCAAGCAAGCTTTTTTTCCTTGGCTTCTCTGTCAAATGAATCATAGATCGAGTCTTTGGTTATAGTTTTGGCCGTGGGAGGAATTTCTGAAATGCCAACGTAGTTTTTTTTGGCCATCCTTGAACTGGTTGTGATAGTATAGGCATTGCTTCGGTAACATTTCATTGAGGACATGCAAAAAGTCTCTTTCATTCCTCTCCTGAAATTGGCATTATAGATGGAATACAGCGTAGGTTTAGAGGCCGAAGAACTAAAGGATATCCACGTGATAGCTGTGAAAACAAGGGAACTTTTCTTAGAGTCTCGTTCATGGGGGTGCCACAGCTGAGCCACATGGAAAGGCAGCCAGGAGAGCAAAAACAACAGATTTAAAATGAGGAACATCTTGATCGTTTTCACTTTTGTCCTTGGGACAATGTTCGTGGTCCTCCTCACTGTTCGGCCATCAGTGCCTATTCTCCAAATGTACTTCACGACCTTCTGGTAAAACAAGATGATGAGGACAGAGGGCATGACGAAGCTCACCAAGAAATGGATGATGGTATAGGCAGTCCCTTCCCAGGAGGAAGGGAAGAAATAGTTGCAGTGATCGTCCCAGCTGGAGCCAAAGAAAAAGAACACGGGAGTCACAAAGGCGGCATCGAAGATCCACGAAGCCGCGATCATTTTCTTGGCTTTCTCTCGGGACACCTTGAAGCTCAGGGGATAGACAATGGTGTAGAACCGGTCTATGCAGATGGAGAGGAGAACATAGATCTGGACGCCAGGGGTGAGATACTGGAAATAGCGCACAACCTTGCACATCACGCTGCCCAGCGTCCACCTGCCAGTGGCGAACTGAAGCAGGACGAAAGGCGTGCTGGCCACGCTGACGAGAAGGTCGGCGCATGCCATGGAGACCACAAAGTAGTTGGTGGTGGACTGAGTCCTCCTACTCCGGTGGATGACCAAGCAAACCAGGGAATTGCCAAAGACAGAAAACAACCACAGGGCCCCAAAGAAAATGCTGGCTGTGGCCACTTCGCCAGGTTTCAGCCCAGGCTGCAGGTCTGTTGTGTTGCTCCTCCAGCCGCGCTCCTCGTGGAATGCCGTCCGCTCGTGGCGTGGCAGGGCGGAGGCTGTTTCCGCACAGCTGTGGTTTTGCAGGGGCACCAGCAGTGTGGGAATAACCAAGGGCGGCTTGCCGTTATCCATTCTGTGAGCGAAAACCATACTCACTTGTTTCCTCTCAGTTCTGGATAAGAAAAGAAGAAGGAGGCCTCCTGTTAAAACGGTGTCATAAAGAGCGACTCCTAAGGCTAACGATCTTATCTGACACTTAGATGGGTTGTCATTCGCCAGGAAGGAGGACTTGAGCCTTGGCAGGACAACTGGACTTCTATCCAGAAACAGCCCTGGCTCCGTCTCTCTTTCATTTCATGAGCTGTTTTAGCTGATCCCAGCTCAAGCTCTCTCTGGCCTCCCCTTCTCTTGACCTTTCGTCAAGTGAGGTGGACTCCAAGCCCCACCCCTGAACATCCCCTTGGCGCCTTCCCTCACTGGGGACCACAAAGGGTGAGGGTGCTCAGATCTGGCTCATGGTGAGGGCGTCACCCTGCAAATGAAGAGCTGGTGGAATGCGGGGCCAGTAGGTGGGAAGTTCCTAAATGTCATGACACTTTAGTGAGGCTGTGAGCGGAAGACATGGGCAGACGGAAACACACAGATGTCAGCTATGGAAATAGCTCCTGGGAATCTGCAGGCAGACTGGCTGGCTCCTGCAAGTGGCCCCCTTCTTCCTTCTGCAGAGTTTCTAGTACAGACCTATTAGGGAAGTACACGGAGCCACTGTATGTAACACTTAGAAGAGCCAGAATAGCACCTAACTTAATGACATCTGAGAACGGCTCGCTTTTTTTCCAAAGATGATGTGCTTCATATTCTAATAGCTTTGCCATGTATCCAGGACATATCTTGATGCCCTTCTGCTGTTACTGTTGCACAAAAGGACATATTGACAGGAGAACATACAAGACATCCTCTGAAGAATGTACCCAGGTTACTGGAAAGCTTATGGCCACTGCATGATTAAAAGCAACCAACTATTAACTGTTACTCAGCAGCTTTTTAAGAGCTTAGGATCCTCGGGCACCTGGGTGGCTCAGATGGTTAAGCGTCTGCCTCCGGCTCAGGTCATGATCCCAGGGTCCTGGGATCGAGTCCCGCATCAGGCTCCCTACTCCTTGGGAGCCTGCTTCTCCCTCTGCCTCTCTCTCTCTCTGTCTCTCATGAATAAATAAATAAAATCTTTAAAAAAAAAAAAAAGAGCTTAGGATCCTTAGATATAGAAGAACATTATAAAGTTTTGCCTTTATTTTAATTTTGGGGGGAACTATTTGGTGAGGAAAAAAGTTACCTTTTTTAATAGGTAAAACGATTATATAATTGTGGGCTATTCAGTTAAAATTGGGGTGACTTGGGTTGCAGTTGGATTATTAAGGTCTAATTTGATCTGAATGTATGAAGCAGAAAAGAGAAAGCACAGTATCTAAATCCAAAATAACCAGAGCGATTCCATGTGGGCTGTGGAAAAGGGGAGGGCAGCAGGCTCCAGCAGGGCCCAGTGTCCCCCCTGGTGGGCTCCTGTGACTAGCCTCACAAAGAAACGTTCCTGAAGTTTTGGAGGTGGGATTAAAGAACAGTTTTTTGTTGTTGTTGTTTTTAAAGATTTCATTTTTTTAAGTAATCTCTACACCCAACATGGGGCTCAAACTTACAACCCTAAGATCAAGAGATGCACAGTCCACCCACTGAGCCAGCCAGGTGCCCTAAGGACAGTTCTTAATGAAAGAACAGTTCTTAATGGCCTGCTTTTCCTTGAAGGACTTTTGCGCTAATTTGTGGCAGGGAGAGGAGTGTTAACATATACTGTCCTCACCAAGAAACCACATTCAACAAAAAGCTGGAGCTCAGGGCAATAATGTAGTAAATGCCAGTCCCGTATTATCTTCAGGCTTTTTTTGTCCATGAGGCACCCCTACTTGATTTCTCAAAAGAAATGTCAGATAATTAGACATTTGACTACTAGAAGACCTTTAAGCATGGCTGGCTGGTTGATAGTTGTAAGAATAGCAACCATACTTCCATATAAAAAAAATCAGGATATGCAGCTGAAAACAGAACATAAGATCTAAAATTAGCATTGTCCTAGAAAATCTGGAACGCATGACCCCTCTACTTCTTGAGGGGTCATGAATTGAATTGAATCTTGAAATTTGAAATAATTGAAATTGAAATAATCTCTTCACCTTCATATGTGTAAAACCTATAAAATGCCCCCTCAATTTTTTTTTTAAGATTTAAACTTTAGGGGTGCCTGGCTGGCTCAGTCAGTGGAGCATGCGACTTGACCTCTGGGTTATGAGTTCCGAGCCCCATGTTGGGTATAGAGATTACTTACAAACAAAATCTTAATAAAATAAAATAAGATATTTAAAGTTTAAAGCAGATGAGCAATTTTCCCAGGCAGAAGGAGCTGTTCTAAACTTTTTGGGGATGCCTGTGGCCTAAATAAAACAGAAGTTGGTGGCGCAGGCACTATTCTGCAGTCAATACACATATTTTGAAACCTGTGAACTTACTTTTGTTTCCCTCTTCTTCTCATAGCAAAACCCTGCAGATGAAACTCAAGTTCACCACAACTAAGGCACCGTGAGGCCTCCCATCTGCCATCATTTCCTCCAGCTGCATGTCACCAGTGAGTGTGTCTGCCCACTCCTCTAGCCCCACCCCTGGGAAGCAGAGGATCCCACTCCTCAGAAATTGGACAAGGGAGCCTTGAGGAGCTCCTGAGTCCAGGTCTCCCCTGATGATGGCACGGCTGTTCTGACTCTACCTAAAACTGCTGCAGCTCTGTTTTTTCATTCAGTAAACCAAGACACTATGCTAGGTACTAGGGAAACAAAGATTAGTAAGGCCCAGAAGAGGGCAAATGTATAAACAAGCTGCCTGACCATATTATAACTAAATTCTGTAATAATTATAACTGGTGCTAACAAGACAAAGAGCTAAGTGGCAGAGAAAAACGAGGATCCAATTTTGTACGGGACAGGAGAAGGAAAGGGAAGATTTCACAAAGGAGGTGAGGTCTGAGTTCGGGACGTGGAGGCTAGCTAGTACTTCTTCAGGAAGACAAGGGAGTGAAAAAAACATCCCAAGGGAGAGACAGAGCCCGTGGAATGGTTGCGGGGGGCGGTCATCTTTTCTGGGTTGATCTGTTTTGGGCCCTTTTCCTTTCAGAGACGACATTTTCTAAACCACACCTCCCAGAGTTTATCGTTTCTAAATGCCCTATAATCAGACTGACCTACCTTTTCCCCAAGGTTACAATGAGAGGTTACATTTTCTGCATTCATGGGCTGCGATGTGGTCAGACAGTGGATGAGAATATTGACATATCCAGAATGGCTGTGGTATCCTCGTTCACACAGCACTTTACTACAGCATTTTCCAAGTGTTTTGCTTTATAGCAACGGTTCTCTAGCTTAGCAATGCATTGGACTCTTCCAGGGAGCTTTAAAAAAATACCCCTGCCCTGGTCCTACCCCCAAAGATTCTAATTTAATTGGTCTGGAGAGCAGCCTGGGCAGTGGGAAATTTCAGAGTTCCCCAGGTGATCTTAATGGGCAGCCGAGATCAGGAATCCCTGCTGTAGAACTGTTTCCATGTTTCTGTGTTCCCCCACCAAGCTGGGGGCTCCCAGGGGAAGAATGCTACTCTTTTTCTTTACATTAATAATTGTTTACTAAGTATTTACTGAATGGAATCCATAAGGACAGAGAACTGAAATGCATGACTCCTGCTCTAGGGGGCTCTGCTAGGAGAATTCAACCAGAGATAGTGATTGTGTCTTCTCCTGAGCTGAAACACTGGTGACCATGCAGACGGGGAAAATAGACTCCTGATCAGAGCAGGGCAGGCGAAATTGAAGTCACCCTGGACTACTGCTACCTGCAGCAGAATTCTCATTGAAGGGAGAGGAAGGTAGCTGAGGTGTCCTCAGACAGGCTTCTGCAATCCCCACTCCGGAAAAAAATAGTCTGCCATATTATAAGTAAGTTCTAGGGTCCCAAAGTAAAATTTCAAAAAGGTCTCCCCTACTCCATTAAGTTGGAAATAAATCCCTCTTCAGGGGAGAGTTTCTGAAATACAAGGGCTGCTTGACCAATTATTATGTCTGGGTCATCCACATGCAGTAATATTAACAACCATAGGAAAGACTTCTTCACCTCTTTCCTGCTCAATCTATGTCTTCCCATCCAGTTCTGAGACTGTCACATGACATACCCCACTGAAGTGAGTAGTGAAGGCCCTTATTAAAATATATCTCTATTACACACACACACACACACACACACACATATCACCTAGCTGGCTCAGATGGTTAAGTGTCCAGCTCTTGGTTTCAGCTCAGGTCATGATCTTGGGGTCATGAGATCAAGCCCCACAGTAGGCTCTGCACTGGGCATGGAACCTGCTAAGATTCTCTCTCTCTCCTTCTCCCTCTGCCCCTCCTGCCCCCCACTTTCTCTCTCTCAAAAAATAAAAAAATAAAAAATAAAAAAAAGTATCCAATACTTGAAAATAAGGCAAAGAGAGTCTAGCATATCTTTTTAATGTCATGCTAGGATGTTGTTAAATGGGCTTCCCCCAAGAATTATTTAATTCTCTGAGAGAATGCATCCATGCTTGATTTTGCTATTACTATATGACAAGAGCCAAGACAAGGTGAAGGTACATGTTAAAGTGCAGATTTCTGTCCAGCAGAAAAAATAACCCCCAAGGTTATGAACTTATTGCTCTGTAGGACATTAATCAGTTTTGTGTCTATCTAGCAATCTTATGTCCACATTTTTTTTAAAACAACAACAAGAACAAAACCCTATATATGCCTATTTTTATTCAAATGCTCTTGGAGCCAAACTAATGATCTCACTGGTTCTTTCAGTAGTAAGTTGAGAAATCTCTGACATACATTCATCCTCTATTTGTAGAAGAGTCATTATTTTATTTATTCATTTATGGGGGGAGGGGCAGAAGGGGAAAGAAAGAGAGTATCTTAAGCAGACTCCACACCCAGCATGGAGTTGATCCCATGACCCTGAGATCATGACCTGTGCCGAAATCAAGCCTCAGAAGCTTAACCAACTGAGCCACCCAGGCACCCCCAAGAATCATGATCTTAGCTTTTTGAAA